TTGTTGGAGGGTGTTTTAGGAGGGGAAAATCAACCCTCCCAAAAAGGACCTGGGCAGTGTTTTAGGAGGGAAAAATCAACCCTCTAAGAAGGATCTGGAGAGTGTTTTAGGAGGGAAAATCAGCCCTCACAAAAAGGACCTGGATATTATTTTAGGAGGGAAAAATCAACCCTCTAAAAAGGATCTGGGCAGTATTTTAGGAGGGAAAAATCAACACCCTCATAAAGGACCTGGACAATATTTTGGGAGGTAAAATTACCCCTCTCAGAAAGGACCTGGAGAGAGTTTTAGGAGGCAAAATTACCCCCCAAACTCCCAAAATCCGTTCCCCAAAGATGCAGCTCAAAAGGAGGGAGATGATTCCCGATTCCCATCTCTGTGTCCACAGCTGAGAAGATTCCAGGTCTGCTCTTCGGGGCTGACCCCTCTCCCTGGTGGGGCTGGAATGTTCCATCCCACCCCAAAAAAAAAAAAGGTGGGATTGAACATTCCAGTGGCCCGGGATGGACACGGAGAGAGCATCATTTTTTGTGTTTATTTTTCCCTGGAATAGCCAAATTTGTGCTCCATTTTATGTGTTTATTTTTCCCTGGAATAGCCAAATTTGTGCTCCATTTTTTGTGTTTATTTTTCCCTGGAATAGCCAAGTTTGGGCTTCCCTTTTTGTGTTTATTATTCCCTGGAATAGCCAAATTTGGGTTTGATTTTTTATGTTAATTTTTTTGTGGAATAGCCAAGTTTGTGCTTCATTTTTTGTGTTTATTTTCCCCTGGAATAGCCAAATTTGTGCTCCATTTTTTGTGTCTATTTTTCCCTGGAATAACCAAGTTTGTGCTTCATTTTTTGTGTTTATTTTCCCCTGGAATAGCCAAATTTGTGCTCCATTTTTTGTGTTTATTATTCCCTGGAATAACCAAATTTGTGCTCCATTTTTTGTGTTTATTATTCCCTGGAATAGCCAAATTTGGGCTTCCCTTTTTGTGTTTATTTTCCCCTGGAATAGCCAAATTTGGGCTTCATTTTTTGTGTTTATTTTCCCCTGGAATAGCCAAGTTTGTGCTTCCCTTTTTGTGTTTATTTTTCCCTGGAATAACCAAATTTGTGCTTCATTTTTTGTGTTTATTTTTCCCTGGAATAACCAAGTTTGTGCTCCATTTTTTGTGTTTATTATTCCCTGGAATAACCAAGTTTGTGCTCCATTTTTTGTGTTTATTTTCCCTGGAATAACCAAGTTTGTGCTTCCCTTTTTGTGTTTATTTTCCCCTGGAATAACCAAATTTGGGCTTCATTTTTTGTGTTTATTTTTCCCTGGAATAGCCAAATTTGTGCTTCATTTTTTGTGTTTATTTTTCCCTGGAATAACCAAGTTTGTGCTTCCCTTTTTGTGTTTATTTTCCTTGGAATAGCCAAGTTTGTGCTTCCCTTTTTGTGTTTATTTTCCCCTGGAATAGCCAAATTTGTGCTCCATTTTTTGTGTTTATTTTCCCCTGGAATAGCCAAATTTGGGCTTCATTTTTTGTGTTTATTTTCCCCTGGAATAGCCAAATTTGTGCTTCATTTTCTGTGTTTATTTTCCCCTGGAATAACCAAGTTTGTGCTTCCCTTTTTGTGTTTATTTTTCCCTGGAATAACCAAGTTTTTGCTTCATTTTTTGTGTCTATTTTTCCCTGGAATAACCAAGTTTGTGCTCCATTTTTTGTGCTTATTTTCCCCTGGAATAGCTTCATTTTGTGCTGGAATAACAAAGCTGGTCCTAAAACAAAGCCCGGCCTGCAGGATCCCTGTTCCCATCACGTCATTCCAGCCAATTCTTTAGTCCAGACCCGTGGTTAAGCCGGGCCTAGGAGTGAGTTCCTGTTGTTCTGATGGTAAATTCTGTGGGATTTTGCTCAGTGGTCTAAATTAGGCTGTGGATTAAGCGCTGGTGAGTTTAAGTGCTGCTCCAACCTTTAGTCCTAAGCTGGTGGTCGAGTCTAGGGCTCTGCTCTGACCCTTGGGAAATCCTCCCTTATTTTCTCCTCCCCCTTCCCTGCCCTCCCCCTTTTCCATCCCCAGCCACCCCACGGCAAATTTGGGGCTGGTTTTAGTCTCGGATTAACCAAAGTCAGCTTTTAATCTGCTTTTTCTCTGTGCTTTGACCTCCTGGTGAGTTTGAACCTCCTCGGGGAGCTTCGTCACGCTTCGGCTTTTGGGCTAAATCTGTTTTTTCCGATGATTTTCCAGTGATTCCTCGATCAGCAGGACACAGCCGGCCCTCCTGACTGCCAGGGCTGGGCCTGCCTGGAAGTTTAACTGGAGCTGGGTTGGGAATTTGTGGACTTTGGCAGCCTCAGCCTCCCATAAAGCTGAGTCCAAGGTCAGGCTTAACTGATAAACCTCCCACACATTTTGTGTATAGGGATTTGTGGATTTGGGAGGGAGAAGGGTCTGGACTGTGGTGGGGATTTGTGGAATTAGGAGGGAGAAGGGTCTGGATGGTGTTGGGGACAAGACCATGAGGCTTTGGAAACCCTCCAGGCCCTGGAGTGGATGCAAAACAACCTTAAACCACAGGGAATCTCTGTGAGGAGAAACTGGGAAATCCCTCCTGAAGTTTCCTGACCAGTCCTGTTTTCCTTTCCCGGGGAATTGTGTGCAGGGACACAATTTTTGGTTAAAGGGATTTGTGGAATTAGGAGGGAGAAGGGTCTGGATGGTGGTGGGGATTTGTGGATTTGGGAGGGAGAAGGATCTGGATGGTAATGGGGATTTGTGGAATTAGAAGGGAGAAGGGTCTGGACCGTGGTGGGGATGAGGCCACGAGGCTTTGGAAACCCTCCAGGCCCTGGAGTGGATGCAAAACAACCTTAAACCACAGGGAATCTCTGTGAGGAGAAACTGGGAATTCCCTCCTGAGCTTCCCTGACCAGTCCCGCTTTTCCCTTCCCAAGGAATTGTGTGTGTGGATTTGTGGAATTAGGAGGGAGAAGGGTCTGGACTGTGTTGGGGACAAGACCATGAGGCTTTGGAAACCCTCCAGGCCCTGGAGTGGATGCAAAACAACCTTAAACCCCAGGGAATCTCTGTGAGGAGAAACTGGGAATTCCCTCCTGAGCTTCCCTGACCAGTCCCGCTTTTCCCTTCCCAAGGAATTGTGTGTGTGGATTTGTGGAATTAGGAGGGAGAAGGGTCTGGACTGTGGTGGGGATGAGACCATGAGCCTTTGGAAACCCTCCAGGGCTTGGAGTGGATGCAAAACAACCTTAAACCACAGGGAATCTCTGTGAGGAGAAACTGGGAATTCCCTCCTGAGGTTTCCTGACCAATCCTGTTTTCCTTTCCCAGGGAATTGTGTGCAGGGACAGCTCATGTGTGGGGAT